TAAATTTTGTTTTTACGTAATTCAAGTATTTTAAACGTTTTTATACTTTATTGGATTGTTGAAGATCCACAAACGAGAAATACATTCAATGCAGATTGTCTGTACTCATTTCCTCCGACATCCGTTATACTGTAACACCTGCTATACCCAATTTAATCATAGCCTTATAGCTCAAAAAAGAATGATAAATAATTCATGAATTAAACTTGTAATTACATGAATTCAAGACATGCAATTAATTAGTATAATATTTCAATTGAAGAGATAAACAGAGAGCAATGTTGAGTAACATGTTTTGAAATAATTATTGTGTTCTTATCAGGAAATCCTGATTTTTTTTCCCCTTCATTTTCGATAAAAAATTGAGGATTCATAAAACTTTAACGTAAAGGTTTTTGAAAATTACCGAAAATGTTATAAAATAACCGAAAAGTTCTAAAAGTTTTATTTATAGCCCTATACTCCGTGTCGTGGTTTCTAGACCTTCTGTGGTAGGAAATTATTTATTCTGTTCTATCACACTTTGATCGATCCTGGGTTCGGAATACCCTTCTGAGATCCAACCTGCCTATATAGAGAGGTTACTGTTGATTAAGGTATACTGTTGAACATGAGGGAAAAATGGTGAAAAAAATTATTATAATAGTTCAATAAAATATATGGTTATACGTGATTACTGACAAAGACCTACTGACAAACATTAGAGTGGAAGGTATACACGACTTTCAATACCTTAGTCATATTTAAGACTAATCTCCTTGAACCTTAGATTTTGAAACTTATATACCCTTTAAGACTCATATAACAGTTTATAAATTCCAGTTTATTTTTCAAACGTATTCAGTGTGCCCCATTTTGACCGGAATAGTTAGTAGATGTCAAGGTCTCCAGCTGTTTGGTGTTGGTGTTATTTCGCTTTTTTCTAAAACTCGGAGCAACAGGTAAATTACCGTAAAATGAATAACGACCAGTTTGTTGATTCTAGCTTCGCTAATCAGCACCGTTATGATATCCATACATCCTATACGACACTAGTTGTGAATATTAATTGTAAATAGCTAAAAATATAGGGAAAATATGGGTTTTTCTAGCGTGTACATTTTTTATTTAATGTAAATATTTTGGCTTTTAAATATTCTAGTCAAATTCACATTGATATTTGTTAAACTTATTTCTGTGAGGCACTCATCCATCCACTATACCCAAATATATCTTTAAGGCTTGAGATCTTTTTCATAAATTTTGAACTTTTAGGCAGCATGTTTCAATAAAAATATTAGCAGATATCAGAGAAATCTCATAAATCTAAGTAAATTCTATTTATATTTCATGAAGACCGAATAAATTATAAATAATAAATCAATTTTATAAAATTGATAAACAATTTATTTTTTTTTAAAGAATAGGCATCTAATAAATTGACTTGCTGCTATAACTTTATAAAAAAAAATAAAGCACAATACTACCTCGCTTATCCTTCCTAGTCAGAATCGAAACATGATCGCTTAAAATGAAAAGTTTATTTCATTAAAGTTTATTAGAATAAAAAGTTGATTAAAATTTATCGTTCCAGCCTGATAAAAAAATAAATAAATAAAACTATTAAGTTGGATCATATTTAAAATAAACAAACCAAAATAGAGTGATTTTCGTAAGGCACGAGTCGTAGGTACAAAAACGTTTTAGCCTCTTTGATTGGCTTAAAAGAATGCTATTGTTAACAAGGAACTGGTTCATTCCGGATGTTTTTAGATTCAGATTGTAAGTTTAAATGAGCTACAACGTAGTTTCGTTGATGATAGTTGTAGTCCCGTCAGCAATTCACAGGCGGATTTACGGGGGAGGGGAGAGGGAGGGGGAGAGAGAGAGGAGAGATTTCTGGATGAAGCCTCCCCACCTCCCCAAAAATGGTAAAATATAACCATGTTTTATAGAAAAAAAGTTCAGAACTATCTCTTAAAGTATTCTTGTTCATTTAATTACATTTAATAGGATTTCAAGAATTACTTTTTAAGAGTTTTTTTCTTTCTTTTTTTCAAATTAATTATCGTTATATATATGAAAAAAAAAAATCTTTCGGGCTGAATCCTCCCCTCAAAATTAAATCCTGGATCTGCTAGTGCAGCAATTTAAAACAATGTTTCTTATTTAGACATGGGCACTTAATTATAAGAACATTTATACCATATCACATATGAGATTATCTATAAGTTAACAGGAAAGATATGTGTTGCATACAGCTAAAGATCTATTTGATAAATATATCTTTGACGAAAAAATTATTTTTTTGGTTCCAAGGGGGTTCAAAAAAGTAACAAAATTAAATTTGGGTTTGAAGCTCTGTTACCTTGCCTTATTTTCACGTTTTTGGACTCTCTAGAAAGAAAGATTATTCTTCTTCCCTACCATGTAAAAAGTTATTACAGTATTTTAGAATATAGGTGTAAAAAAAAGTTTACAAAATTGAGATTTTTTACTGAGAACGTTGGTTCTAAAGCACATAAGAATACAACAGCAGAAACTAATTGCCTAATTTACAATCCTATACCACCACTTCGAATTCGGTTTGATTGGTGCAAGGGCTTGTAAATTATGTTTGTAAGATGTTACAATAATCGATTCTTTCTTGCGAGCACATATGAAGTTCAATTAGGACACTCCACTACATTAGCTTGATTATTCATCTACCTATTCTGTGGCTATAACCGTTGCACGATGTTCATCAAATTAGAACATAGACTCAGGCAGGGCGATAAATGAATGATAGTAAAAAAATCAAAAATGTTTAAATAGAAATCCACAAAACCACAGGCTGGGAGATGAAAAAAAGGGAATAAATTTTGATCTACCAAAGCCTAATCTAAGCTCACTTTAATCAACTTTTAATAATATAAGTAACAGACATTAAACGATTACTTGCAAATATTATTACGAATTATGTTGAATATATTTGGATGGAAGGGATTTTTGAGTTCATTCAGAGGGGGGAAAATGTCACTGACCAAAAGGGAAATTAAAAAGAAATCGCTGATCAACTTTCTTTCTAAAAAATATAGTGGTGAAACAGCTTCAATGATTTTGATGAAACTTTACCAAAATCTTCATCCTAACACAATTTAAATATTTTTATATATTGAGTACATCCTAAAGATAAAGCAGGAAAAATAATTGAAGAAAAGGCAAATTTATTTACAAATAACGGACAAAGTATAGATTTTAGGTGGATGACATAACATTAATTTGAAAGATGATTAAATTTCCTACAAAATTAAAGTTAAAAGTTTCCTACAAGATACAGCTCATTGCACTTTGTAAACGTCTGATATAAATAAATATGATAAATATATGATATATATATACTTTATATATTACAAAATAACTTTAGGAAAGAAACAAATATAATGAAAAATATTTTTGCTATCTATCCATTTCATCTGACCACATTATATTTTAATTGATTTCTTTATTATTTTGTTTTTATGGGATGTTTGACTAATCAATTATGTTCTCATAGAAAAGGTCCCCTAACTAAGCATTGTACATATGCACAAAGACTTATTGTGTATAAAAAATGAATAGAAGATACATGTTTATGTAATCGCTGAGAACAGTTGATTTAGGTTTTATTTTCCTAGTTATTTTGATGATTTTTTTTTTCTATATTAACCTTGACTCTACGGTGAATAGGCTTATGACAATCTCATTGAAGTACTCCTTCTATGTTCTTTGAAGCTATAGCAGAAACTTTTTTCTTCTAGCTATGGACAATTGGTTGAATCAGACAGGAATAGAATATTGTGAATCAATCATCTTTTTATTATTATCTGCCATAATACTAATATATAGATGTTCCCACTAACAAAAACAGAACTACAAATTAAAAGTTTTTGTAAAATTCTTACTACCATTACCATTACAGAAATTTCTAATCTAAAAGAAATAAGATAAATTTCTGAAATATCTGTTCTCCTTCTTTGTAGTTTAATGTTAAGCAGAGCTTATTTACTTTATAGTAAATATTTTTTATAGCTAAAATAGACATTTAAAATTTAAAATCGAATTATCCCTTTTGGTTACCAGTTATATTACATAACTTATATTACAACATTATATAGGTACTTTAATGATATATTAATGATATATAAAATATTAATGATATATGAAATATCTTCTAATGATAAACTTTGAAAAGTAGGTATAGATACAGAAATTAAAAAAAAAAAATTAAAATCTTATAAATTATAAAATGATGACAAAAACAAGGAAAAAAATAAAACACTAAAAATAAAGCTTATATTACTAGCAATGAAAAAAATGTCTAACTACATGATAATATAATAAAAAAACTTGTTAAAAAAAAAATGTATTTGGCTGGTTCTGGAATTTTACATCTCAAAATGTTATAAAACATATTTACATAAAGATGATTGGAAATTAAGACAATGTAATCTAAAATTTAGCAATAGGCTTCTATATGATTCATTACATATCTATCATTGTCACAGATATGCTATTTCTCATATAATTATAAAATGTATTCATTGTCTCCCAATATTTATTATTTTTATTTGCTAAAAAAATTATTTTTACACTCACATATATTTATGATTACAATGTATAAAGCATAAATTATAATTGTAATGGTTTAACATTTAAGTAATGGTGTATGATGATTAGCTGCAGATATAGGATCATGATAATTTCTAACTCAGGTGTCCATTGATGAGATATAATTTAAAGTAACTAATAATAATTTTGTTAGATATATTGTGAACCATAGAACGAGTCATATAATTTGGGTTGGTTAGGGGAAGGGAGAGTACAGTTTTTGAAATGAAATTTTATCAAGATTTCAGTATTTATAACTTAGGTACTATCATAATTATAAATATAACTGTGATAAACCATAAAGAAAAATAATTTAATATCCCTGTTATATTCTTTCTTTACTGCTCCATATGATCATATTATGTTACTAATTATTCTGTATCACGTAACAGGAAATACTCCTTTCTGTGTTGACAAAGTTGAAGGAAAGAAAAAAGTGGGAGAAGAATGGCAGGACACTTCGCAATGTGTACTGAAACGTTGCCTTACTGATTCCCAAGGAACTCCTCTCATACATCACAGCAGGTGATTAATTTTTTTTTTTTTTTTTTTTAATAAAGAGGGATTTCTTATTCCACATTACTTAACCTATATCATTAGTTATTATAAATGTAATCAGTTTTATGGTACTTGTTCATATACCTCTTAAACACATTAAAGTTTTAACTTTACAAATAAATTAGGCAAATCAATATAATGGATTAACAAATTGAAATGAATTGAGATTGAGCAAAACAGATATCACATCCTTTCAATCCCCTACTTAAGTTAATAAATAAGAAACTTATCTACAACACCATACTTAAAGTGGCCTCTCTTGTAGGGACTTTGGAAGGAATAAACTCTTTGCAATGTCTTATTTTCATACTAGTTGCTAAAATCAGGGGTTGAAATTTTTATCGAAGTTTTTTAAAAGTTTTATTTACAATTTCTGAAAAACACTATATGAAAAAAAAGTATTTAAAATAAAAATTCTATGGAACTCTTTCATAATTAAGTTTTTGGTTTATGTTAAAAAATTTAACTTAAATATAAGTTCTTAAAAAAAAATTACATTTAATAAGAAAAAAAGAATTTTGGCTTATATTACAGATATAATTTATCTTAAATGGATTACCTTTGTTTGAGTAGCTAAGAGTATACTACTCAATAACCATTTTTTAGATTGACTTTTTAGCAAAATGAATTGATTCAGCAGAACTTTTAAATAAATCTTTACTTTAAATGTTACAATGAAAAATATTCTATTTTTCCTGGGTTTGTTATAAAGATACAACCAAACCTGTTCAAACCATAGTAGGAAGTTTTGTTCAGTGGGTCAACCACAAAATAAATTTCAATTCACCATGGCCCACTAGCGGATCCAGGATTTCATTTTTCTGGGGGGAGGTGAGGGGGGAGAGGGGCTGAAAGCTTTTTTTTCTTCAAATGTAACGATAATTACTTTGGATGAAAAAGAAAGAAACTAACTAATGGTGTTTCTTGAAGTCCTATTAAAAGTAATTACATGAACAATAATACTTTAAGAGATAAGTTTTTAATATTTTTATCCATAAAACATGGTTATATATTACCATTTTGGGGGGAGAGAGGGGCTTCAACCCGAAAGACCTTCCTCTCCTTCTCCCCCTTAAAATCACCTGTGCCAAGAACAGATTCGAACCGGTTTCACTAGAATCAAGAATATTAAAGTTTATGCTTTAACACAAACGGCTATCATGACCTCACTATCTTGGGTACTGTATTTCAGAAGAAATGTTTCTTCAAATAAACATTATTAATTGAAGTAATATAGTCACCATTCATCAGTACGGGCTTTAGATATTTGGTGTTCCAGAGCATTGAAATCATCTCCCTCCAAAAAATTTAATTTATTTCTTAAGTTGTTTTATATTAAATAATATTTGAATTTTATTTCATTCACTCACTATTTCTCTAATTCAGGTGTTTTATTAAAATCAATTACAAAATTACAAAATCAATCACCAAAATTTCTTTTCAATATAATATCTTATATATTACCAATCCAGGTCAGCATCCCCGGGCAATTACCTGGGATGTCATTCTCTAAGGCCGACACTGCACTTAATAGCCAGGTTTTCTCCTAACATAATAAAGGGCTTGATAGCAACTTAATAGGAAAGACATCAGATACTCAATTAATGGTAAACATAACAGAAATAAATTTTCTGCTTCAACCTTTAACAAAAACATAACTATAGAGCTATAAACTTGACTAAGTAATAATAATAAAAATTTAACTATTATTTTGGTTTTTTTAAGTCACTTTGATTGATTACCAAAAAAATCTAAAATCCTGTTAAAAATATAATTAAAAAACATGGAAAATTAAAATGTATATATATATATATATATATATATATATATATATATAAGATAAAGACCGGAGACTGGCGGTATCAGCCTTAATACTATCTGGTAATGTAAATAAACAGGCTAAGTGTATATAAGGAGGCTTATGGAACGAATAAAGCAGTGTTATTTCAGAAGTCGTGTATGTTACATCTTTTCCCTTTTCCTTCTTTTTTTTTGTTTTCTAAGTCCGACGACGCTTAACTGGTGCCGAAACCCGGGACAACGTCAGGGAAGTAATTTTTTTTTAGTAGATATTTTTTTTTGTTGGTGTTTAAGGAAAAGGTGAAATGCCGACAGAAGGTTTGATTAGACCGGGAGTACTAAGCGTACCGGAAATTCCTCAACCTCAGGATATTCCACAGATCAATCAGGTACCCCAGATCGCGCCTCAGGTACCTCAGATACCTCAAGTCCCTCAGGTAGCACAGATCCCTCAGATCCAGGAGATCCCTCCATTACCAAGGGACACGTTGGCAGAAGCACACGCCAATGCCTTGGAATGGATGAAAATAAGAGCAACAACCACGCAGGACTTACGGAGGGCCATTGCGGACCTGGAACGATTCGGAGGCGAGGTAGGCGAGCTCAACCATTTCTTGAAAGGCGGAGATCGTCTTATGTCAAGAATCGAGGTGAAGGTGGCGGAGGACCTGGTGAACCTAGGGGACGCTGAAGAACTAAAAGCAGCTCTTGTGTGCCGAGTAAGGAGGAACGTCCTGAACCAGATCCAAGCGGACGAGGAGACTCCGTGGCCGGTGATTAAGGAGCGGCTGAAGAAGGCTTTTGGAGGAGGTAGGTGGACACCGGAAGAGGACATATTCCAAATGTTTAGGGAGCGGCGGGCCCAACGACAGTCAAGGGGGCAATATGCGGGAGTACTCGTGGCGAAGTACAATCGCATAACCGAGAAGATGCGGGAAACAATGAGCGTGGGAGAGGTCGAAGCCAGGATGGAGTTTCTGTCGACAATATTGAAAGTCCAGCTGGCTAAAGAAACGGGGAAGAGGGACGGACTGCCCAGGGAGCGATCGTTCCTCGAATGCGCCCAGGAGATGATCGACCTAAGTGCCAGAGAGGAGGAGACACGGATGGAGGTGGAAGAACCGGGTTGGACCCGGGTGACGGATAGACGACCATGGACAGCCCCGACAGGTTGGAAGAAGAGGGACACCAGGCAGCCGAGTGGAGAAAAAGCCCCGACGAGGGAAAGAAGATCGGGACAGTCGTCGAGGCCGAGGAATGGGCCCCGGAGGGAAGAGAGAAAATGTCACGGGGGTGGGAAGCCGGGACATTTAGTAGCGCAATGTCCGCGCACCAGATGCTTCGAGTGCGGGACGGAAGGGCACATAGCAAGGCAGTGCCCATACATATTTCACAGGAGGGAGAGACCTCAGGACGAACCCATGGAGGTGAATGTGCAGAGGATGAGAAGACGAGCCAGGGTACATCAGCGGGACGGATCTTCGGAGGAGGCAACCGAGGAGTCAGGAGCGTCGGGAACGGAGACGGACGAACCAGGCAGCAGCGGAGGTGAAGGAGGTAGGCGCAGCCAACGGAGTGAGCAGCGACGAGCGGCGGCAGAAAGGAGGAAGCGGGACGACATCTGAGGAGTGTGTCGGCAGAGAGGCGACCGCACAGCAATATGCAACAACATCCGAGGTAAGCCATGCTGGTTGCCAATTATCGAAGTAGACGGGGGAGTAAAGTGTCTTGTGGACACGGGTAGCTCGAGCACTATTATGACTCGAAGGGCGTTAGGAAAAGGGTGCGGGAGCGAGAGGGTACTCCGGATACAGAAATGTGACTGCCAGCTGATCACTCTGGGTGGTCCCTGTAGTGTAGAGGGTGAGGCGACAATTGGGCTTGATCGGTGGACAGGGAAAGAGGGTGAGCTAACGGTGCATGTGGTAGAGAACATGACTCGGGAATACCAAGTCATAGTAGGGTGCGATTTGTTAGGTCAGGTAGGGGCGAGCATTAGGAACCGTAGAGGAGTCTGGAGCGTTAGGTTAGGAAAGAGGAAGTTCGGATGTATAGGGGTCGCGAGAGAAAGAAGGGTGCGGATAGGAGCGGTGGACAGAGTGGAGGACTGGAGGAAGTTGCTACAAGAGGAGTTTAGGGATATCTTCTTCAGGGAAGGTGAGGTATTAGGAGTAACAGGGAGGACGGTGCACGAAATCCCACTGAAACAGGAGAGGGTAACTTACGTGAAAGAGAGAAGATACCCGCAGGCGTTGAGACAGCATATTCGGGAGGAGCTAGATAGTCTAAAAGAACAGGGAATCATAGTTGATAGCACCTCACCATTCAATAGTCCCCTGTGGGCGGTGAAAAAGAAGGCAGCGCCGGGGGATAATAAGGAAAAATACAGGGTGGTAGTAGACTATCGTAAATTGAACGATAACACGGTAGACGAGAAGTACCCGATCCCGAGATTCGAGGATATACTCGATAGGTTGAGTGGGGCCGTGGTCTTTAGCACGCTGGACCTCAAGGCGGGATACCACCAAATACGGATGCACCCGGAAGACCAACACAAAACAGCGTTCACATTTGAAAGGGGGCATTATGAATTCACCAGGATGCCGTTTGGTCTGAAGAATGCGCCCATAACGTTTCAGCGTCTGATGGACGAATTTTTGAGGGGCATCGATGACTCGGTATGCCAGGTATACATGGATGACCTGCTGATTTTTAGCAGAACGGAAACCGAGCACGTGGAGCATCTGAGGGCAGTATTCGAAAGGCTCCGGCAATTCGGGCTGAAATTGTCAAGCGAGAAGTCTCTGCTGGGACAAACGCGGATCAATTTTTTAGGCCACACTATCTCTAGCGAGGGGGTCAGACCGGATGCGGCAAAGGTGGAAGCAATCACGCGGATGGCGGTACCACGGGACGTCAAGGGGATTCGTAGGCTTCTCGGGACGCTGAATTATTACCGGAGATTCGTACCCGAGATGGCAGAGTATTTGGTACCCATTAACAATTTGTTGAAGAAAGGCGCAAAGATTGTGGTGACACCAGAGATGGAGAATAACATTCGAAAATGTATGAATAGGTTGCTGACGGAGCCGGTGTTAGCGTTTCCGGATTTCGAGAAGCTTTTTAATATAACCACTGATGCGAGTGAATACGCGCTAGGGGCCGTTTTGTCCCAGGGGGGGAGTGAGGGTGAACGACCGATAGCATACGCGAGCCGTCGGCTTACGGGTGCGGAATCAAGGTACAGCGCTTTGGAGAGGGAGCTACTCGCGATAGTATGGGCTATCGACCATTTCAGGCCATACGTATTCGGGAGAAAATTTCGAGTCCATACCGACCACAAACCCCTCCAGTGGGTAGGAAAACTCAAGGAAACCTCAGCTAGGGTCACAAGATGGAAGGAGATCCTAAGCCAATACAACATAGAGGTGGTGTATAAGCCGGGAAAGGAAAACGTGGTGGCAGACTGGCTCTCGAGGGCCATCATGATCAACGCGGTTGAAGAGGACAGGGGAGGACCATCGCAGGACGTGCGCCAATTCTTGAGGGAATGGACTCCCGATGGCGAAGGGGCAAATGACACCGCAGGGATTGAGGACAGGGGAGATTCCCCAGAAGAGGAGAGCTCAGCGGAGGAAAGGGCAGCGGAGATGGAAGAAATAGAGGAGATCGTGAACGACAAACACCGTCAGGTGATTTGGAAGACACGAACAACCGGAATCATGAAGATCGATTTCAGAAGGTACGGGAGAAGTAGGATCCGCGTCATTTGGTCGCAGCCCGGGGTCAGCGAAGAACAAATCTGTACGGCACTGAGGGATGCCTCGGAAGCGGGTAAAACGCACTACCTATACGTAGGAAACAATACGGTATGGGATAAGATCAAGCGAATGTGGAGGTCCGAGCGAATAGGCGTGGACAGGACATTCATCCGGTGTAAGTATGCTGTGGAGACGGTACAGGACGAAGAGCAGCAGCAAGCAATCACAGTAGCATATCACCAGGGGAAAACCAATCACCGAGGCGTTAATGAGACGCTGCAGGCATTGCGTCGGAAGTATTTCTGGTGGGGCATGAAGAGGTCCATCCAGGAAGTCATTGGGAAATGCGAGATATGCATGCGCACAAAATACGATCGACACCCCCCCAGAGGAGTTCAGGAGGAGACACCTACAGGGAATATGCCGCTACAGGACCTTCAGATTGACACGTTTACCTGGAAAGGGTTTAAGTGGGTCACGGTAATCGACATATTCAGCAAGGTGGCGATGGCATACCAAGTGATGGAGAAGTCAGCCAATGCAGTTGCGGAAGCCCTACAAACCTGGGTGCAGTTCTATGGGGTCCCCGAGAGGATTACTTCGGACGGTGGTAGGGAGTTCGACAATGCCGCGATTAGGGAGGAGGTGAAGCGATTGGAAATTGCGTGGCATTATAACACCCCAGGACATCCTAAAGGTAGAGGCGGTATTGAACGGCTGCACAGTACGTTAAGCGACCACGTCCGTGTATATCAGGGTGAAAAAGGGTTGGAGCCGGATGTAGCAATGAGGAAAGCGGTAACAGCCTATAACCACTCGATCCACTCCGTAACGGGGTTTTCACCCATGGAAGTTCTATTCGGGATGCGCAGGCCAAGGCGGGATTATGGGGAAACTACGCTTACCGAACCGTTAGTGGATCAAATTCTCAGCAATAGGGTAGAGGTAGAGAAAACATGGGGAAAGATAACGGCGAGAATTAAGCGGGAAAAGCAGAAGCGGGTGGAACGGCAGAATGTACAAGTTCGCGACCAAATGGGGGAACTAAAAATAGGAACAATAGTTTACCGGAAATTGGGAACCAACAGAGGGAAACAATTGCTACGGTACGAGGGTCCATTCAGAGTGGTTGTTATTAGGGAGCATAACCTGGTAACTATTGAGAGCGTGAATGAGCCCAGAAAGAGGAGAACCGTTCATATCGAACAATTAAAGCTCCCAATGATAGAGTCGGGACATAGACCTATGGATTCGTAGTACCCTCACCGCTGTAGATAAAACAGAGGAATATGTTTTTTTTGTGGCTGTCAAAACAAAACAAGTTGTAAAAGATTTTTTTTTGTTTTTTTTTGTTGTATTATTTCATGTATAGAGGAAATTGTGTTTTTTTTTGTTGTTGTTAGGAGTTCTCAAGTGGTAGGAGTTCTAAAGTGCTGTGTTTAGTTTCAGTGTTTTTAATTATTTCTTCTGTATTTAATATTTTTCCAGTTGAGTGGAACTATTTTATTTTCTTTAAGGATGTACTGTAAAACCAATTGTAAAGTGTTAAGGCTGGTCACCGTGGGCTCCGATCTAGCAATATTTAAGTTTCCGAAAATCCTGTTCGTAAACTGGTGGGGGGAGATAAAGACCGGAGACTGGCGGTATCAGCCTTAATACTATCTGGTAATGTAAATAAACAGGCTAAGTGTATATAAGGAGGCTTATGGAACGAATAAAGCAGTGTTATTTCAGAAGTCGTGTATGTTACATCTTTTCCCTTTTCCTTCTTTTTTTTTGTTTTCTAAGTCCGACGACGCTTAACTTATATATATATATATATATATATATATATATATATATATATATATATATATATATATATTATAATAATAGGTACAATATGCACTATCAATTCCTCAAGATTCATGATAATAATAGAATAAAGATAAAACAATATTTCTTTTATATATTAAAAAAATATAACATAATATAATATAATCACATCTTCAAAAAATTATCTGATATGATGATATATGACCGAAAATGATATTTTTTTCTGAAAATGTCATACTGTTAAAATGATTTGAAAACGAATATCAAACTTTGAGCTAATATTCCACCCTCAACATAAAAATAGAATGTTTACCAAGAATTTAGACATAGTTTTGTATATTTTCTAATGAAGACTAATTATCTTACATTTAAAGCATTATTTAATTGAACCCCTTCCTAGAAAATCATTACATTTTAAATAAACTTGGTTAATCTTTATAGTGATTAAAACATGGAAAGAAAATGTATTATTTTCATAATATGGGATATTTAATAAATAAAAAAATAGTAAGATATATAACAATGTTTATCTCTTATTATTTATTTATTATTTTTCCAGTTGCGGTGCTGTTTCTGCAGAACCACCATGCAAGGTCGTGACACCAAATGGAACAAAACCGTATCCTGACTGTTGCCCTATGCCAGTCTGTTAGCCCAATTTTGAGGATGAACTATGGCGATGAGAAAACAGAATTTATATTGCTACCCTGGATGACCTTCAGGAAAAAAATTTTTTATTGTGTTTTATTACTTGATATTGATGTGTGAATAAAAAATATGGTCATCAGATCAAACTATAGACACTGTTTAATATTAATTAAATATTTGTTAATATTTAATTTAATTAGAAATTGTAGACTATTTTTGCGTAATATGTATGTATAATATGAAATAAATTATGAGATGGATTTTATATATTCTCAAAAATATTAACAGTGTCATTGAAATGAGAACATTGATGTGCATTTTTAAAGTGTTAGTGATAGTTAAATAAATTTCAAGTTCTTTTCATTTGTTTTTAAAATCTTTGTTTCTCATTTAATTTTATTCGCATAAGAATTCTGTCCCTACTTATGAGCTATAATCATCTTTTTGTATGTTTAATTATACACTGCAAACATTTTAATGTGCCTATTTTAAAAAATTGTTTCTGTCAAATGTGAATTATAAATTTTGTTTGTTATGCTTTATAAAAAAAAAGGTTAAAAAATTACTTTTACCAATACAACCCATGAAAATTCTCTGTGTTCTTGGTAAAAAGGTACTGTGTTTTTTACCAACCATTGTGCCAAGAGATCTGGCCAGAATTACATGGATCTTTAAACCCTGCAACTTGAAATCCACTGTATATATTAATGAATCTAGTTATATTTTACATCATAATTGTTACTTTATTTTTTTCTCCTCTAGCCATTTTTATTCTGGCCAAAAGTCGGAAGGTTGATATTCACTTTGAAAAGTCTCCCATGATATAAATTTCAATCTGCCCAAGACAGATTCAAACCACTTTACTCATGATAAAAATATTTTCATCCGACACTTTTTTTTTACATTATCATGCTTTATTTAAATAACTATAGTGATTTTAAATATGGCTTTTACTAGGAGAAAGGCTAAACGAAGGAACAACAAAATTAAACCCCCTTGAAAAAATCCATTCTTCTGTCCTATTCAGTTACAATTAACTTAAAATGTCTAAAACAATGTTAATATTGGAAAAACAAAATATTTTATATCTGTAAATGAAAGCAAAGAGAAAATTTAAATTCATTAAGTAAGTTATTGACTGTAGATACAAAAATCAACAACATGGAATAGAGTCAATCTATTTAAATAATTTCAAATGAATATATTAAATAATTTGACGTGTCTTAAAATATAACTTAGATCCCAAAAAAAAAAGTTTTTAGGATGTAACTGAGAATTAAAAAGTCTTAACAAATTATCAATCATTGTTCCCAAATGGGAACAAATGCTTGGAATTAATTTTAGAATGTTTATCTAAAAGTAAATACTTACTTACTATTTTTATAGATTAATATCTTAATATCATAGCATGTGCAAAACACGAATTAGCCAGCAACCAGATATAATGAAGATTGTGAGTTTTAAATCTTGGTGCCAGGAGCTTTTCACTCTGGCATTAATACCATGTCCTTTCTCCTGGCCCAGGAAAACCCCCACATTGCTGAAAAGAAGAGATAAATTAGAAAAATTAAAAAAAAAAAATTGTTTCAAGTGCATTTAAAGCGTTTATTATTATCCTGGTGTCAATAATTGTGGCTCAATTCTTCTAGTGAGTGATCATTCTTCAAAACTGTGAAAAACTGATTAGGTTAAGATTTTAAATCTAGATGATTTGCAGAATTAAATTAAAACCAACAGGAGCTATTTGTCATAATAAAACCAAAAATTACCAACCATGGACTTGTATGAAATTGTATGACTGAAGTATACCGAGAGAGGCATTTATGGTGGTGGATTAGTCTTCATGTGTTGACTGAACAATAATTAATGCCTTCATCACATATGCTTCAAAAAATACATGAACCAATCTAAGCAGTAAAAATATGTACTTCTAAGAAATTGATCAATTGAATATAGCTCCATCTTTCCTAATTTGTGAATACAATTGTGAAATTGGTGGATTTGATTTATATCATCCTACTATAAAAATAAAAATAGGTTTAACCAACCATTTTGCAAATACATTGAACATGGCTGTTGCTGCTGGATGGTTTGAACATTTCGAATTCCAAAAGATAGAAGAAGTGTTGAACATACTCCAAATTTCATGTCATCTCTCTTGAAAGCTCAGGAAAACTAATAGATATTTTTTCCTAAATTCCTCTTAAAGTTGGTGTTTATTATGTGTAACACAAGAGTGTAAACACCAAACTTTTTTTTAATGAAATGTACTTGAATAGCTTATCCTCTAATCACAGAACCCTTACGAAAACTTGCTCATTAAACTCAGATTATTTAAATAAAATATATAAGAATGAATTTTAAATGAGTATTTATTGGACGATTATATAGTCAGTGTACAGTCTGAGACCATGGCCTCCTAGTAATTTTTTATGTGATGATTCATTATGTTATCCACCTACAAATGCTGTTAACCTCAAACCACTATCCAACTGTAATTATGTCAGATACCTATGAACAGTAGAAAATAAAACAAAGATTTAGTCAATAGGCAGGAGAAGAGAACCAAGCATTAAATTGGTAGGTCTCAAATCAACCTTGGATTGCCATAATCCATAAAGCTAAAGCAAGTCAGCATTCGTCTTATACAAGGTAATGATGAATTCTCCATTGATTAATATCCCTCTTTTTCTAAATGTTATATGTACTTAATAAAGTATATTGGTTACCTCTTGTTTTGTGATGGGAATAGTTTCTATCAATAACATTAGTATTAAATACTGCTTTATCTCAATCTGCACAGCATAACATGTAACCGATTTTATTTACTCTCTAAATTGTTTAATAGAAACACTGATTTGACTGTGGGAGCATATCACGTAAAATATACTTTTGACTTTCTTATTCTCAAAGAAGCATAGGATAAAATATCACACTGGAACCTCAAAATATTAAACTTGAATCTCAAAAACATAGGATATACTGAATAATATGGTGCATCGTACATGACATTTTAATAACTCGCTACATAAACTTTAAACCTCCAATAAATAAATAAATAATATAAATAAAATTCATCGATAAAATAGTCTTGTCAAGACTTCGAACAAAACTAAAACTAAATCCTGAAAAGAAATAAATGGTTAATTGGATGTTCATCAGAATTTTAATTTATTTAGTTAAATCATCTTAAAAAAAACTTCCAGCTTTAAGTTATTGTATAATTTATATGATTTTTACAATTAGCAAAGTAATATCTGTTCTTACCTAAAACAAAATAAAGTTGTAAGGAATCACTTGATGTTGCTAGTCATAAACCTATCTGTATTCAGAAAATGCTCTAAAATTATCTTACCAGTTTATGCATGCACGGTAGTTTTCACAATAAAATGGTGGCCATGAGCGTAACCAGTTCAAAATTGATTGGGAGACAATTATTTAAAAAGTAGGGCAATTAATTTGTTTGGCGAAATTAGTCTTTAGTGTGTAATTTTTTTTTTTAATGTTGAAATTACTACTTACAACAAACTTGCCATGACTAATTAACTTTTCAGAAATATATATTTTTTTTAGATAAATTTTTTATTTGATTTTAATTTGTTGGAATTTGTTGTGTGACTCATGATGTATATATTGTCTAAATTTATTTATTTTTTTTTCTTATATCTCATTTAAATCATTTTTTTTTTTTCATTGGCTGTATTATTTTTGGAGATGTGGCTTTTTGATGAAACATATGAATTTTATCTTTCTTTAAAAAATATATTAAGTGCTATAGAAAAAAACTTAAAAAAATAAATGAAAAATATAAAATTAGTAAAAACAATATTAGATTGTATAGACGTTATGTTTTTTTTATAACTTTAAGTTATCCCATCACTTTTCTGTAGAACAAATAAGTATGTAATTATACAGTTTAAAGATATAAAATTAATGTCAAATTTTTTTTCTAGCTACTTCTTTTTGTTTATTTATTAATTTTGTGAATATACATGGCTTATAAATGCATTTATCATTAAAATAATAGATAATAGATTATGAATGTATTTGATTCTTATCGAATTTAAACATTTAATTTGATCCTTATAAGTGAAGGAAATTTCTTCAATTTTGATGGAATGATTAGAATATTAGATTCAGTTCGTCTAAATGAAATTAAAAACATGAAAAACATTTCATTTTTTTCTAATTTATGGATAGGTTTCATTTTGTAAATAAGCTTCTCAAATTAGTGTTGAAGAGTGGTCAAATAAGGCTAAAAAATATTGTGTAGAGTACTGATATGATATTAAATTTTAGCTATATTTAAAAAAGTCTAAATAAAATAACAATCAAGTCTCTATGATAAAATTGTAACCACTTATTGCTAAATAAACATAAAATGTTAAATTGAAATTTTGGAATTCTACAGTGTGTCCCTTCTAAGATATTTCAAAATACATTTTTTTTACAAACATTCTAATTATATTTGAAAATTTATAAATAAAAAATTAATATCATGGAGATAAAATTTTAAAATATAAAGATTATTGCAACACAAGAAAAAATTCTTTATGGAAATTTCTTCTTCTTCTTTGTCTTCCTCTTATGCCATTAATTAGCGTCGAGGAACCTCAACCAGTGCAACCACTCTTCCCGGTCCGTGCTTAGTCGCTTCATCTCATTAAGGGTTTTGCCTCTTTTACATCCAATCCTTTGAATGTAATCATGGAACGTGAGTCTGGGGCGTCTGCGTGGTCTCCTTCCTGTGGGTCGAGCCTCTAATATCCTTATAGGATTCAAATTCTCATTCATGCGGCAGACGTGTCCAAACCACTGGAGTTGCCGTCTTTCTAGAGTAGTTTTAAGTTCGGCAACTCCTAGCTGCTCTCTAATGCTTTCATTCCTAATGCGATCCCTTCTAGTTCTGCCAGCAGATCCTCAAGGAACCTCATTTCTGCTGCCGTTATGCGACTAGAGTGCCTGTCTAGCATTGTCCAGCTTTCTCCGCCATAGGTGAGTGTAGGTAGGTAAACAGACTTATATACGGGCATTTTGGTCTTCTTGTCTACTTCGCGATGGCCGATAATGCTATTAGTAGTC